TTTCCTGCACCAGAGCTTAACTGTTTTGGCTCACTCTTACCAGCTTCATTTCCAGACACAACAGGCAGATGTTTTCAGCAAAAAAGCTCTAAAAACCCATTGTACATTACCCGATTGGCAACAGACACACAAAATTAGCAACTAGCTGTTAAACATAGTGAAGCATTTATCAGCTAAAGAGCCACATATTCCTTCAGGAACTGGTAGAGACTGCAAACAGAGCTAAAAGGAGAAGGGATACTGGACTTTATCAGGTAGCCAGAAACATGTTCTTCAAAGGTTGTGTGCTATTAGAGGTATACTACACCATAGCACTGGAAATTTGGCCTGTTGTTGACCTCAGCAAAAGTGCAAACTAATCAGAATGAAGTAAATCAATAAAGAAAGAAAGATCTTTTAGTATTCAGTGTTTTGATTTCTATTTTATAGCTAATTTCTGCTGCCAATTTATGTAACAGTATGAAAATTATTTCTTATTAAGTGACTCACCAGACTTTTAGTTTTAAAAGTTCAATATGAGCATACTGTTTATCCCTCCATTATCTATACCACGTGTTCCTCAATAGGGTCATGGGGGGTTGGAGACTATCCCAGCTGACATCGGGCGAGAGGTGGGGTACACCCTGGACAGGTCGCCAGTCTATCACAGGGATGACACATAGGCAACCAAACAGACACCTTCACACTTCACACTCTCTCTTACTGGCAATTTAGAGTCACCAATCAACATAAGCTGCCTGTCTTTGGACTGTGGGAAGAAGATGAAGTACCCGACGAGAACTCACATAGGGAGAACATGCAAACTCCACACGGAAAGGCCACGTGTCAGCCCAGGCTCGAACCCAGAACCTTCATTCTGTGAGGCGGCAGCATTGTAATCTACCAAATTAAATATGTAGGTTGTTCAAATAATTATTTTGGTGCCAATTATCATCTCATCAAAATAGTCTACTAAGTAAATGGACTAATCGCTCTTAATCAAATAAGAGCATGTTGTCCTGAGATAACCTGACATTTACCTAAGACCAACGAAGAAAAATAGAAGCAAGGTCTCTGATATTAAATATTTGTTAGTTATTTAAATTGGTGAATTCATGGCCTGCTGACCTCCAACACTTGCAGCCTTTTGACTCATAGCGGTAGTTGTATTGGCCACACACACAGTTGCTCTGTAGATGTTTTGACCCATGTTTGCATGCACCATGTTTAAACCAGCCTGCAATTTTACAGCCATATGATTTTACAAAGGAAATGTTTGTTTTTCCACATTGCAAACTGGTACTGGCAATCCTGGGTTCCCACTGCATGATTATCTTATTGCGTGACATACTTTCCTTCAGGGCAGTATGCTGTGGCATTTAGAGAATATCTGTGTTTCCCCCAAATTGTGAAGGCCGAGTCTGGATGAATGCTGCGCTTTGTGTAACTATTGTTAAGGTGAAATGTGAAACTTGCTTCAAATTGACATTGTGTGGTATATGGTTGCATTAAAGGGCCACCTGATTTTTTCAACCCTCTACGTGTCTTATCATTCATACCAACAGTCCTCACTTGAGTAGGATACTGTAACAGTGGACCGTTGACGCTCTGCTGGTCAATACAGGACAGAGGCGAGACGTTCCTGTGTTGCCAACGGGAGACACTCCGGAGACAAGCTGTCAAAAACAACCACAGACTTTTCTCACACTGTAACCCAGTATTCCCAGGGAAAGGCCTTTGAGAGGGGCATCGTTTCCTCAGCAACTGCATCACTTTGCTGTGCCGCTCCAGAGGAAACTGGGTTCCTGCAGCTCCAGCTGAATAGCAGCCCTTCTCTCTCACTCTGCTCCAGCAGGGGCCCATGCAGGCTGCTCACTGGAGTCTCTCATGTATCAATTACCTAAAATATCAAACAGCACATAAGAGGGTGGTTGACTTGTTTGTTTGACTTTGGTGGTCACAAAGATTTCTAGTGAAACTCAGAAATGTGCAAAGAGTGAGAAAACATTTATTTAGCCCAGAGGATGTGTGAAGGAAGCTGGGTCATTTGTTGTCTGAATGACTTATCGCTATCACAGTTCATTGCCCAGGAAATTCAACTCTGCGCTGCACAATAAAGTCAGACAATAATGAGCAAATAATAAAATCTGTAGTTTTTTTTTTTTTTAGGTGAAACAAAGTTCAGCAAAAACAGAGGACAGTGAGGGATCAGTTACCTCTGATACATTTGGATTCTGAGTTTAAAATGAACTTTTTTTAAAACACAACCATGGGCCTACAAGTGTACATCATTTTGTTTGGTTGAGCCCTGCATTTGCGTCTTACCATGTCACCATCACAGGCCAGATTGTTCCGAAACAATCCAGGGAGCTAACAAACAGTGACTCCTGACAGGTTTTGAAAAAGCCAGCCCACTGAGACTCTATATGCTGTGTGTGAGGCAGGGGGAGCTGCTTTTGTCATGATAACTACTAACTCTGAACCTTTGACATGCACATAGGATAGTGGGTGTTAATGGCAAAGAGTGATTTGCCAAAGTGCTGACAAGGAAGAGGGGACAATTTAAATAAATCTACAAATGTATGAGAAGTTAGGAATTAGTTATGATAACAATGAGACAAGTGTAACATCCTACTATATCTGCACGTCTCATATCCACACCCAAAGACCTCACAGGTCTGATTTACATTGAAAGTGAAGACTAGTGGAGCGTGATCAGTTACTACACCAAACTGCATTTTTACTAAACCTGGAAACATCGACCTTGTACTGAAATGGCCTGATTGTCAACAGGCTGGTCTGTGACTGCAGCAGCTCTACCAGGGTGGAGGGGGGCTAAGGAGGAGGGCAGGGAAGCAGTCACAAAAGCCTTCTGTCGCAGCCTGGGAGTGGGGTTACCTGCTCTCTGCAGTGAGATCTAATTTCACACATCATGTGTGCATGCATACGCATGAGCATGCACATCCAAGCGAAAAACCTCACACATGCACACTGAAGTGTAAGGGGTTCGGAGTGTGCACGTGGCTCCTCAGGGGATAAATGAGGTTTGTTTGGCAAGTGCAACACCAGGACAAAAGCAGCCGTATAACTAAAGTACTGGGTGACAGATTGTCATTGTTCTCTAGGAAATGACATAGCACTGCTGAAAACAGAGATGTTTCCTGCTAAATACTTTTTTCCCCCTAGATGTAAACTAGGTCTCAGTCTTGGTGGGAAAAAAAGTAGCAATCACTTTCACAGCTGCAGCACCTCTCTGAAACACTGTAGGGTATTAGACCAGAGATTAAATGAAAATGTGGGGTAAAATCTCAATCACACAGGCAAACAATGGAAGTGATTATTGAATGAATCATGTGCTAATTAAGATTTCATTTGATAATAGTACCCTAGTCACCGCAGGAAAGTAAAAAGTGAGAAGGCAAGTGTTTGCTTTGTGAAGGAAGCAGTGGGAGAGGAAGCGAACACACCATTACAGGAGGTGCAGCAGCTTGGGGACATAAAAGGACATCTCAGAAAACAAAAGCTTCAAAGGTAAATGATCTATAAGAGGTTGAGAGGCAGGACCCTCCCTGTTCCCCAGAAAACTCAATGACAACATGCCACATATTTAATAATCCCTGTCTGAACTACAGTATGTGTGGTTACACCCATAAGCTCTTCTTCCAACCACAGGGATACTATTCCTGATAAATGGTGTGAGGTAACCCTTGCTCTCAGATCTGGAATTCATCATGTTCTCCTTCCTGTTAGTGCTGCTCAACTTCAAGGACCTTTTCACAGATTTTAGCCTCACCTGCATGTGTTCTTCAGGAAGTGAAAAGTTTTGTAGCTCATTTCACCACCCGAAGTCCTACATCTGATGGTGTGGTCATTGGTGTAAAATAATAATAAGAATGCCTTGCCTGCATCAACAGGTGGAGAATTTGTGAGGCTGAAAAAAGTTGCCTATTTTATGTGTAATGGTGTACATGAACATATATTTAATATCGGGGGCAAAGATTTTAGAAATACTGAGGTGATGAATTCAAGGCCTCACCAGCAGTTTAACCAGACACCAAGAAGCAAAGTCATAAATGAGTTATAACTTTAATGATGGCTACACTGCATTAGCCTGCACCCTGGCTCACTGGCCACTGGGACACTTCAATGGAACAGAGTCATCCCTAGGGTCATTAATAACACCTGTGACATGATAAAATGTCTGCTGTTAATCAGTACTGTCATTTCAGGCAACCCTGCTAAGATGAACCTGTGAAGGCAAGAGTGAGGATCAGTAACAGATTTTAACCATGTTGTTCTCAAAGGGTTTATAGACAATATGTAAAACAACTACAGACTCTGCTGCCACCTGCTGTTAAACTGTGCCACCACATAAACAGAAAAGACACAGCTGCTCCTTGATATGTGCTTTTCACTGGATCTGCTGCAAATGTCTCTTTTCTGACATTTGAATGTCACAAGAGACAAAACACAGGTGTAAATAATTGGATTTCAGGGTTCAGTTCACGTCTTACCAGGACATTTGAATTGAGCAGTTATCAATGTTATTAGCAACACCTGTGCTTTTCAGCTATGAGAAGCCAAAATACCTGCTCCAAAAAGGGCCCATCACATTAGAGCATTTTCAGTTAATTATGAAGTCACACAAACCACAGGTGGGGAAAAATGCAGACACGCTGTAGCGTTAAAATGGACCACTTTACTCTTGCACACAACAATCATAAAGCACATTTTGAATAGAAAAATAAAACGACCTGCTTTAGAGCACATTTCAATGCAACTGTGGATCTTTCCTAGAACCCAAGCCTATGCACACAATTCAAAGATGGGTTTCAAAACGTTCACGTCTTTGCAGCAAAGATTCCTTCAGCAAAACAACACATTGAGCTTATGTGCACTTCTTAGAAAGTGACAAATGCTCATCACAGGAAAACATGAAACACTAACTGGCAGCGGTGGGTGGTGCCATGAGAGACAGAACCCTGCACAGCCATGTTTCTGGGGGAGGGGAAAAAGTTGAAAATGAGCTGAACAGTAAAATGACTAACTGAACATAGTTGTGGTTAAACAATGGACAGGAACAATTTACATAAAGAATTTCTGTCTGAACCACACGGAATCCCCTCCCACACTTCTCCATCCAAAGTTAGTTGCTTTTAAATATATTTTTAGTGAATTCTCTTGCACATAAATACCATTATTGCTCATTAGAAAAACAAAAATCTCTGAAAAGTACAACTCACACATACTGGCATTTAAATCTACAATGTGGCATTTTTCCAGCCATGACAAAGCTAAACCGATGGCAAAAAGAAATGTTAGCAAGTGACTAACTTACATAAAACTATGGAAATAAGCATTTCAAAGCTTCGTCAGTTAAATTTATTCTAGATAAGAAAAGTAATTCCTCAGTAAAAGTCTATTGTACACAGAAACAGGTCAAAACAAATCAATACAACGGAACCAATTCAGTTAATTTATACATGTACGTGGGAGACAATAGGTCCAAATAAAACAGTCAAATTATGCTTGCTTAGCCAATATTTACAAATTTTAAGATAATCGTGTTATAGATTAGGTTCATTTATTTTAAATGCCACTCATTCATCAGCGCCGTTTGTTTGGGACGTCGGAAAATGATCATCAGTGTCACCACATTCCTCTACTTCTTGATCCTGAGATAAAGAAAAACAACCAATGAATGAGCTCATTTCCTGCATCAAAGTAAAAATGAAATAGATGAAGAGCAACTTGGTGCATTTTAAAAATGGTTCACCTGTTTCAGCACTGCCATCAGTCCTTTGACGGTGGACATCAAGGCGGTGGACGTCTTGCTAATCTGGTCATGGTAGATCATCTTTTGTTCCTTTACACCCTTCAAAGTCTGCTCGGTTTGGCTCAGAGTGCTTTTCACCTCCTCCAGCTCCCTGGACAAGGCTTTGTTGGCTTGTTCCAACTGTGCTTTAATCTTTACTTCTTCATCTGGAGACACAACACATTTTGGCTATTGCTTTACTACTCTTAATATTCACAATCAACAGCTGTATTAGTGACTCCCATCTTATACTTGGTGTATGGCAGGTGGTAGCAATGTGCCAGTCCATGTCTTAACAGAAATCACAGTGGGAAGAAAGCTGACCGACGTGAGACTGGGCTTCTTTGTAGCAAAGCTCAAATTGAGCCAGATCATTGTCCTGATGAACTACTGACACAGAGTGTAGCTTGCAACTCATGACTAATGAAATTAGTTTCAAAGACAACATAAACAGTATAATACAGTTCAAGTCATACCCATTTTGGCATCCTGCACTATGAGCTTCTGTTCCAGCTCTTCTCTGGCTTTTTCACTCTTTTCCAGTTTCAACATCATGCTGCTGATGTCAACCATTGCTCCGTTATAGACAATCAGATTACCAGACTCACTGGCCTCTGACTGAGCACGTGCTTTTGGAGCAGGAAGTAGTGCTCGATTACCTGAGAGAAAGAGAGAATTTCATGAAGGAGAAGAGTACTCTGCTACAGCCCTCCACAATATGGTAGCTGTAGCTTATGACACTTCCAGTATCATGATAGGTTTAAAAAAAATTGTGTTTAATTGGCTATACAACACTAGCAAATGCAAGACCCATGTTGGCTCACCTAAGAGGTTCTCTATCTGGGCTTCATTAAAGGAAGGAGCAGGTTCATCCTTTCCCCTGTCTGTCAATCTGCGGTAGTAACATGTCTCTCTGACCACTGGCTTGTTCAACAGTTTCTTTATCTGGAAACAGACAAAAATCAGCAAGACAGTGTTTTTCAGCTACAGGTTCATGTACATCAGTGGGCAGGCAGTGGGTGAAATGTCAATAAAACAGACACATTTACAATCAGAAACAGACCATGTATATGATTGTGTTTGTGTGTGTATGGCTATACAGTGTGAGGATGTGTTTGAGTGAGGACATTTTGGCCAATCCTCACTTTCTGATACACCTTAAAAGGGCTGTTTGAGGGTTAAGACTTGGTTTTAAAGTTCAGATAAGACTTAGGATTCTGCTGGGGAAAAGGGGCCGTCAGTGAATGTCCTCACAAAGATGACTGTACAAACGTGCATGTTCACCTGAGCACGAGAAAGGTGCAGTCCCAGTGTGTACAAGATCTCCTCCAGGTCTCTCTCCATCAAATAGCCACAGTGGCTCTGGTCAAAATAGACAAATGCCATCAGCAGCTCCTTGTTGTGCGTGACCATCTGCTGCTTCTCCTGGGGTAACAACCACATTTATACCACCAACCATGTTTACACTCCATCATTGTCTAAATAATATGTCTGCAGCAGTAACCAACCAACCTTGTCCTTGGAGGACCTCTCTTTTGATGACTTGCGGTCATCCTTGTGGTCTTTCCTGTCTCTGTCATTGGAGTCGTCATCATCCTTGTCTAAGAAACACCAAAAGAGGAGTGAGGACATGGAGCATGTTAGTCAAATATTGTCCAGTGGAATGAAAATGTGACTACTAAATGATCACTGATGTTTGTCATTCCATTTTTAAATTATATTATTTGAGTGTGAATACAAGAAAAGTGTAAATAACAAAAACAATGTTTTCCCCATTTAAGGCCTCAGAAACCGTGGAAAATGTCCATCACCGGATCAGCGTGGTGCATGGTTTCTCATCACTGACCAAATCATTTTGTGGGAAATTCAAAAAATAATCTACTGGATTATATTTAAAGAAAACAATACCATCATCATCGTCGTCGTCATCAGCATCTTCAGCCTCCATTGGGTCATATTCTTCGGCATTGGCTGTGCTACGATCATCTTCATTCTCCTCTTCATCACGAGAATCCTCCTTTTTCACAGCCTTCTCATCATACTGGTTAAAAACACATAACTGCATGAAAGCACATTATTTATTGAGCAAACAAACCAACAAGGCCAGAAAGGTGTGAATGATTCACCTTCCTCTTCTCATCATCCTCCTTAGTCTTCTTGGCTGCTGGTTCTTCGTTCTCCTCTTCTTTTTCCTTCTTTATTTCACGCTTTTCAACTTCCTTTTTGGCTTTCTTCTCCTTTTCCTTCTTCTCATCCTTGGCAGGAAGAGCAGCAAGGGCTTTATATATGCGGTACCCAAAGTCTCTCTGTAGCATCTCGTTAAAGAGCTCAGCAAACAGGGAAACCTGGACAAGAGACAAAGGACAGTATATCATCAACCTGGACAGAAAAATGCTTGGTTTATAATAAAACAAAAACAACTGGCATCACACACTAAGGAATATGTGCATGATAAAATCTTATATTTTCATTGCAAAGAAGGATAAAATGTGATTGAGTATGTCTCACCTCAAAAGAGTGTTCCTTGTTGTCTTCCAGTCTGTAGTCCAGCAGCACACTCAGGGACATAACACTGCAGTCAAATTTGCCATTCTTGGCTGCCCAGTTGGGGTGTACGAGGATGGTGGGCTCATCAGGGAGGACGTAGCGCCTTTCTCGCCGCTGGCGTTCAAGTTCCTCCTGCCTCTTCCTTTCCTCCTCCTGACAAAGAAGAACATTTCAGTTAAATCTATTATAAACCTAATTTATGAAGATGATTTCGAATATTGAACATCCTCTCAATACGGTGACAACCTACCGGCTGGGGCTACCTTCTACTGTAATGCACACTGGCTGACAAAAAATAAAATATAACGTTAAAATAAAAACAAAGGCTAGACTAGGAGAGTCTCAGTCAACTGACAGGTCTCTATTTGACTATTAGGGGGCAGCACTAAATCTCATCCCCACACATATTTAACTAATACATTTCTTCACACCTCTCTGTCGTCTTCAGGGTGGGATGGTTCCTCTTCCTCGGGAGCTTTGATCTCTGGTTTCTCAGGTTCCTTGGACTCCTCCATCTGTTCCTCCACCTTCAGCTGCTTAGTGAGGCGAGCGATCAGCTGCGACTTTAACCCCTTAGAACTTAGAGAGCGGCAATCAAGCTCCTTGCGCAGGTCATTTACCTAAAAGGAGAGACAACGGGGACATGAGAAACACATTTAACATTAGGAAAAGAGGAGCACATGCTTTAAGATGTAAATGGATGATCCCAGTATCCAGGGCAAGATATACTTGTTGTGTGTGCAACTGATGTGAACTGATTTATACTCCTCCCAAAACAAACCAACTATAGATGATAATGCACCAAAAAGAAAGGAAACCACAACTGAATCAAATTTGAGTCATTAACATTAAGTAATGTTAATAAGTTTGTTCCTCATCTGTTCTGCACACAGATAGTTCAGGTACACATCCAACTATCAGTGGAACTTTCTCCTTGAATCTTACCTTCATTGATTTCGGGTCAAGTTTGGCCCAGTGTGTGGGTGTACTAACGTCCTTCGCTTCATCGTCATCCTTCTCATCTTCCTCCTTGACAGGAAGATATTAAGACAGAGAAAGGCAGAAAAAAAGAAAGAGGTGGGACAGCAAACGATCAGCACACTATTCGTGGGCTTAACGAGTTTTAAAGTTGATCCCTGCAAGAAGCAAGGACATATCTGCCTTTCATTGTCTCGTCCTAGTGAGCTCTCAACTGTGTTTAAGTCCACTGCTACTCAAGCATACACAGGGAAGCTCTCTAGCTTTTATGAAAACCAACAGAAATGCCCCCCCAGCTGCCAATCAATCAATCTGTGGAACACAAAAAAGGTAAAAATCAATGAGAGGTGTGTCCAAAAGTGTGTGTGTACATCAGGTGAACTGAAGCTGGGCTCCAAACGGAGTGAGGATAGGGTGGCCCTACCATGGTCTATGACTGGGTATTGCCATTTATGGGTTTTATACATCTATGTCAGAAAGGACTCCTCTGTCCTTCTGTCCAACCAACTGACCTGGAAGAACCAAATTCTACATGTAGTCCAAGTGAGAACGGAGGATCCAGCAACAAGAACAGACAAGAAACAGGACTTGGGGGAGGTACTGCATTCAAAATCAGACAATATCAAACTGATGCAAAATAAAATAAAATAAAAAAAAAAATCATACAGTAACAGTTCTACAACAAACAGATCATTTACAAGCAACTGATGCCACAGATTCCAGTTTTAAGAAAAACTCCTGATTCCAGTCCTAAAAAAAAAACAAAAAAAAAACCCACTGATTCAAATTTGAAAAATTGTTTTGAGATCACTGCTAAACAAATTTCCAACCGAAAATGAATTGATCACGTATCATTTAAAATAATGCTCCATTAAATGACAGGATTAACAGGAACAATTGAGGTGTCTGTGGACCTGGAAGCTGTTTTATCAGTTGCTATCAGGGCCTACACAATCCAGCCTAGTCTCACTGCTTTCACTGTATGTGTCTGCTGGATGTGAGGGAAGGTGGGAGTGTTGATGGGAAAAGGGAGGAGTTGGAGCAGAGGAGAAGGGGAGAGATGGAGGAGGAAACAGAGGAAGCCTAGGTGAGGACTAGTGGAGCAATAATCTGCTTGTCTTCATGTCTGCGTGCATAAATGGTGAGGTGTGCTTTGTGTCTGATGTGTATCTGCGGTTTATTTTTGTAATTCCTGTGCCTTCCTGTGAGAAGCGGAAATGAGAAGAGAGGGATTGGCGGTTCAGTGCCTGTTCTCCATCCGCCTCCTTTCGCTCGGCCGACAGCTTCTCAGCCAGCTGCTCCCGGAGTCGCCGTGACAGCACATCCCACTCTGAGCGGGTAGGAAGACAATGCCAAACATCCGGAAGAAACAAAACCACTGTCTCCACATGAGCAGGGACTGTCCGCCCCTTGTGTGTCTCCTCCGGTCGATGATAGCGAATCTCTGCAAAACGATACCTGTCGCAAAGGAAGAAGGTGCATTGGAAAGAAACATTCTGGTCAGGGCACAGTATAAAAGGCAAGCCTTGCTAGGGCGAGCCTTCTACAGCTACTTCCTCCCATGAGGTCAACAAATGATTATACATTTCATTACAGTGACCCTTGTCCCACACAACACAGCACAGACAAATGGACCCAGTCTGCAGCTCTCCAACTGTTGTCACAGGTTACGGCAGCCATTTTGAGAAAGTTGACAGGCAATCACAAGAAATAAACCAGACCCTCAAAAGTCAACCCCATTATAGCTTCAATATTATAGCCAATTATGGATGAGTGTCCTACGTTTAACATAGGATACACATTAATGCACTATATTAGGGTTGTGCGAAGAAAGACAGAATCAACAGGACAGTGAAAGCCAGATAAATATGTAAAATATTTAGCAGGGAGAATAGAAAAATAAACTAAAAAAGGCAACAACAACAACAACAACAAAAAAAAAACCAACAACAAGAAGTAATGGCAGTGTCTTCTGGTCCAGGCTACTGCTTCCAGCCATAAAGTCCATGCGTTTGGTTTTTCATCACAATGAAATATGCACAAATATGTATATAAAGAGAGTGTGACAGCGAGAGCTAAGGCAATAGCACACAAAAGGTCAAAAGAACACTGCAGAAGAAAATAAATAATAGGTAGCAAATTAACAATACTGACATAAAAAAAGCAAAGAAAAATATCATCCACCATGTCCAGGATGAAATTTAATATAAAAGGTAGTAAAATTAACAGCTTATTATGGACACAAAATGTGGGATTTTAGAACCAAAATAATTAAAAGATTTAAACAGAAACTATACTGATAAAAATAAATATTGGTGAGAGTAACAGCTCTTACCACTGAGTGCACAGACTAAGGTCTATGCCTGTGAGTGCCTTGCAACAGCGTATGGCTGTCTTTATAAGGACTGAGGGATCCTTCTCTGGGTCAGCTCCATCCAGAGAGGGAGACCAGTGACCACCAATGGCCATGGCCTCGTCTTTACCTCTCATTCCCACCAAAAACTGAGGGAGAAAGACAGATAGGGTAGGAAGGAGAGAAAGAGAGTATAGGTTAGACGGAAAGGGGGAATATGGATAAAGGGATGCAGAAGGTATGAAGAGCAAAGAAGAGGACAGAAACAGAGAGAAAGACAAAAAGGTCAACAGTATGTTCAAATACACATAACTCTGAGGATCCACAACCAAAAGAGAGAGAAAAAACACACCAGGTTTATTTACACATGTAAGCCGACATCAGATAGGACTTTTCCACATTGTTGAGTGTTCAGCAATGGAATAGGATCAATACATCATTGTCAGCACATGTGCATGGTACAAGCAGGAGAAGGCTGTGATATACCTTAATAAGTCTAGCAGGATGTTGGAAGGTGTCTCTGATTTCCTGAGGGTCCTCTGCCAGAGCACAGGACTTGTGATAGAGATCCTCTATACTGGGGTTAGCCAGCAGCATCACCTAAAATAAAGACACATTAACTTGTAACAACCCGAACTGCAAACATTCTCTAAAAATGCATGTAAGCATCCTAGTGTAGGTATACAGACCGTGGTTAGATACCAGCAGTAGAAGAGCAAGACTGGACATAAACACCTCCGTTATCTCAGCTACATGTTGTGTATATCTGAAGGCCTTTACTTGATCAATTATCTATATTAAAAGGAGTCAAACTGGATTTTTATTTCTGAGTTTCTGTTTTGATTTAGTCTACAACAGGTGTCTGCTTTAGATAAATTGATTTGTCCCCCAGCTGTAAACTAAATCTTAAGTGTATGGATACACATTTCTTGATTTTTTTTTAAATTTTCTTTTACATGTAACATTTAGTGTCATGTTACTTTAGTCCTGTTCTTAGATTACAACCAGTAGTAGCTGTAGTTTGAGAATGGCTCTTATAACGTGAGAAAAAACAAACATGTAAATTACTTTTTTTAACATTTCCAGTAGTAGCTGTAGTTTGAGAATGGCTTTTATAACGTGAGAAAAAACAAACAAACAAACATGTAAATGACTTTTTTTTAACATTTGTGCAGTTTTTTCTTAGCTCACTGCGACTTAATGAAGATGAAAGTCACACCGGTGCCAAGTATTTATCAGTGACAAGAATACCTTAGCACTATAGGTGTGGTTGACATCAGGAGGGTCCAACACAGCTGTGTTCTTGATTAGAGGATCCACCTCTTTGTGCAAAATGTGGAAGTTACAGGCATTACTAAACTGGAACGGTCGTATCAGAGGAAAGGCATCCACCCAGGTAAAGACAGCATTAAAGAAGTCACTAGGAATGTAGAGGCTATGATAGCGCCTTCTCAGCTCCATCATGTCACAGCATGGGCTGCAAAACACAGAGGACAGTGACTGACTCAGCAACACATACCACACATTTTTGAGTGCCTGACAGATCACACCACTAAGGTCTGCTTCCTACTAAAAGATTGCACTCACCCATCTAAGCTGAACTTGGAAAACTGGACAGTGTAGCGAAGCACTATCCTACGAGGCCGTCTTGGCGAGCGGTCACGTCTTGGTGAGCGGTCTCTGGAACGTTTGCGTGTGGGTGAGCGCTCCCTTGATCGCCTGCGCTCACGGTCTCTGTCTCGGCTAATAAATGAAATAAAAACTTTAGCGCAACTAGTGACCAATCAATCAAAAAACAAAATAACAGACACCAGAAATTTGTGGGAAAGTGACAAGCAGCAGCTAAATGCATAGTTTAGTGGCAAATAGCAAATATCTCAGATAATATGTACTGCCATCATACCTGCGCTCCTCTTTAGTCCTGAGGATGAGCTCAGGGGCTCGATCATTACGACTAGGGAAACGAGGCGGAGGTTCAATCCGTCGGACAGGCTGTGGCTGTGGTATCATTCTCACTGGGGGCTGAAGCAGACCCCCAGGAAACACATCTAAAGACAAAACGCATTTTTATACATTTAAATATACCAGAGCAAAGCTTTAACAAATCAAAGTCATCACCGCTTGTCTGACTTCTTAATATCCGATACTAGTTAAATATACCGATATACCATTGAGAAGTATTTTACCTTTGGGCGGAGGCTGTGGCAGCAAAGGTTGAGGAGGGTTCTGCAGGAGAGGGGCCAGAGAAGCAGCAGACAGCTGCGCCTGCAAGAGGGAAGGGGGAGCTTGTGCCGGAACACTGAATGTGGTTGGGGGAGGTAGTGACTGCAGCATGGTGGGGGCTGCTTTCATCATGTTAGGTGCTTGAGGCTGGCTCTAGAGAAAAAGGGGACAAAAAAAAAGAACATGTGAGTACATATTCCATGGCACAACAAATAAGATGAATTGCTCACTAGCTGCTCGAAGGAAAGAAGGTCTGAGTGTCTGTTTGAATGAAACAATAATAGAAATCTTACCAGAGGTGCCTTGTTAGGTTGTCCTAATCAAATACCTCAAATGTTGAGTTTAGAGTTCAGCTTAGTTTTGCACCACTTTAGTCTCACACAGTTGAATCTACCAAATGTAATTATCCAGGTTTTAACCTGGACGAAACAAAAAACAAACCCTTTTGTTTGTCAAACCTCCGGGTGAAGAAAATATGAAACCCCAATAAAAGATGATGGTTAAAGATACACTTTAGATATCTGTGAATTATGGCCAGGTATTGTTTGCAAATTTTCTACATGATCACGCAGCACAGTCTCTTATACTATGTCTCATATTAAGTTATCTAAAAAAAAAAAAAAAGCCAGGCACAAGCTTCTGTATATTAAGGTGTCAGTAACATTGACTAAATGGTACATCTTGAAACTCTGTAAAATTTGTTAGCTCTGATTGTTAAACAGAAATCAAACTGATGCCTGACTTACAAGCCAATAGTAACAAGAATGTGTGGCCTCCAATTTGTGCTCAGTTGAAAGTCAACACTAGATCACAACAGTAGCAGTTACCATCGTACTCCGCATCATTTTAGATCCACACATAATAGCTTTTACTTTTCACCAATTCACACTAAAGTAGCATTTGCTGTTTTCCATGTCATGAGGTAAAGCCACTTGAACAAAAAGGTCAAACTTATTCAGAAATACACATATTTAACTAAAAATACCATTATCAAAATTGCATATATCCCACTGTTTGATAAGACACTGATTTAAATGGTGCTGATTTGTACCCAGGAATACTGCAAAATAACAAATTTTAAATATACTTTTTTGAATCCTGAACAGCAATGCATTTGCACTCCGGTGTTATAACACAATTGTTCCTAGTTGAACAAATGCTCATTTCACTGTGCATTCTGTTCCTGACAATTAAAATTTGGTGAAAATTTATTTATAGCGGATTTTCTGATGTCACTGTCTTGTGTAGAAAGATTAATTTATTTCAACATTAAGAGGCCCAAAGTGCAAAACCACCTCTGAAACACAAATAACAGCTCAAGGAACATTTGTTTGTTATATTTATCTGTAGACCAAAGAAAGCTGTAATCTATCACAAAGAGCGCATTCAAAAATCTCAAATTAATGAAAAAAATTGGTTAAACCACTATAGAAAAAGCTGGTTCTATTAATTTGGAAACAAGAGCAAACTAAATAAACACAAATATTGCAGTTAACAATAGATGTAGCAACTGTTTTAGTTCACCATGACAGGCTAAGGAAGAAAGCCAGGAAACAAAGAAAAACAGTAAGAAAGAAACTAAATAGGGAGAAGGACAAAAAGTGTGTGATTCAGGGTTAGGGGGTTACATTTTGTCTGTTGTCCGCAGTAGAGTGCATGTCTGAGTAGCGCAGCTGCATCCCTGGCTCATTGTAAAGGCTGCCGAGCTGTGGGGAAGCTTGAGGTAAAGGCTGAGGCTGCTGCTGATGCTAGAAGGATTGAGAACACAACAGTCAATCAAAAAAAAAGAAAAAGACCTGAGAAATACAGGAATAAGATGAAATCTGAAAAGAAGAAGAAAATAAAAACAAATGTATTAGACTCCCAGACTAAGACAAGTGAACTGTCCAAGGTGTAAAATGGATCTATGGATCCCACTTCTGAATGTTCGGTTTGTTCACTTATATTGTTCATTTATAACTTTAAACTGTAGTCTGTTACAGTTCACCACAGTCATTGACATGCTGAATGTCTAAATTCTCTTCTGTTTTCTACATAACACATGTAGCGTTAAATAGCCCTGAAAGTATCAACTCCCTCCATCAGAGTGCCTCTCTATACCATGGGAGGACAAGGACCTTTACCCAATGAAAAACACATTTGCATAATTGTTATCAGTGCAGATTCCTATTCTCTGATGATGATGGTGGATGATAAGACACCACCACTCACACACGCACATCCTGCACCTGAGAACCATTTTAACACTTCATGATGGACTTTATTGAACTGACACCTGCGGGTGGTAAAAGGTACTGCCTTGTGATGGTTGATATGCTTTCAAAGTAGGCAGAAGCTTTTCCTGCCAAACATCCCCTCCATCCATCAAGGATTTCAAATGGGCTCATGTTAGCTCTGGATCTTTTCCTCATTTTCAAATACAGTACGTTAACACAACGGGCAGTGCTTGTACCCAAGAAAGACCTGTTTCCTCACACGTTTAGCAGGAAAAGCTTCTACTCACTTTGAAAACATGTCAACCGGCAGTACCTTTTACCACCCGCAGGTGTCAGTCTGATAAAGTCCATCATCAAGTGTTCAAATGGTTTGTCAGGTGCAGGGTGTGCTGCTTGTTCTGTGAGTGATGTTGTCTTACTTGAACTGTTAGTTGCACAAATCATACATGACTGACAATATTTCTGAGCATAGGTGGAAAACCCTTTTGTGAACCAGTGCTGTGTTATGACGTCCAACATTATATAATCTTTACACAGGGTTGGGAAGCATCAGAGAAAGCAGAGGAATCTGCACTGATAACATTTATGCAAATGTATTTCTCATTGGACAAAGGTCCTTGTCCTCCCATGGTACAGAGAGAGATGGAAGTTGATCCTTTCAAGGACTATTTAGCGCTACATCTTTTATGCAGGCAACAGAGGAGAGTTCAGACATTCAGTGTGTCACAGTTCACCACAGTCAGTAACAAACTACAGTTTAAAGTATAAATGAACAATATAAGTGAACAAACCAAAAATTGCTATTACAGACACCATTTAGCCCCTGTCACAAATGTTCCAATATTTTCTCGAAACCCCAACAATTCCCTGAAGCAAACAGGCAAAGTACAGAGTAACTAGACCAGGGTTTCAAATGACAAGACGGTCTTTGGGACCTTTGCTCATTTTCTGTGCAAAATCCTAGTATCAGTGGGACTCTTATTCAAATGTCAAAAAGTTATCATGTGGATATTATAATAGTAAATATTGATGAATTCAATCTTTTACAAAACAATAAGACCACAGTGTGTGCTTTTACATTTTTGTAGCAAACAGGGCAATTTTAACACAACAGATGAAGTCAAAACACTGACCATGTGCTGATTGCTGTTATAATGATAAAACAATAAGGTCAATAAGTCAAGCTGAAATCGCTGAACTGTATTATCATGTTGAGCGTTATTCTTAAGCAACGTGGAGGAACCTTAGTGTTCTCACCGACTGGTTTCCTAGCTGAGGTAAGGTCTGGATGCGCTGGGCATTCCACTTGAAGGGCATATTTGGGTTGTACACAGCTTCCACTAGGACCCTGTCACCCACCTGGGGAGTCTTTCCCTTCACAGCACTAAAAAGACATTTTTAAAAAAGTACTCAGACATCCTAATATGTCAGGTCACATTAATTTCAAATTGAAAAAGGTTCACATATCTAAATAAGTATATATTTAAGTCATGCCACCAACACACTTTCTGCACAACAAACAGTCTAACATAAGAACTTCACTTTCACCTTAGCTGAAAAAAGACATCTTCATCTACAAAGCCAAACGTGTCATGCAGCTTGTTGACAACACCAGTAAAGACTCGCTGCTTCTGTGGCTGCGTCTGCTGTTGATGGCTTGAACGTGGTGTTGGGTAGGACACAGTAATCTGGGCTGTTTGCTGGGGATTGGACAGGCTGAGGCTGGTGGGCAGGGCCACGGGGGGCTGAGGGTCAGGAAGATAAAGAAAGGTTTAAAAAAAAACTGTTACTACAAACATACTTTGGTTGCATGTCTAAACCTAATCATTAAACATCAGTCACTCAAACTCTGCAAAACTGCAAAAGGAGACATTGTACTAGCAAATCAAAACATATCTTTTTCCTCCAATAACCTAAACATAAACCCCTTAAGGAAACTGGAAAATAACCATAATGAACAAATACAGGAGGTACTACTTTGATCAGGCCAACTACTGATACATTTGATCTAAATTCCACATTCAAATGCTAACATGTAAACATTTAGGACTGGTGTAGGCATGAATGTTTTGGACTTTGGAAAATAGTCAAATAAAGGTGATTGAAGACATACACAGCCTCACGTCAACAATGCTGTATCTGTTCAGATGAAAACATGAGGAGAAACTGGCTATGGAAAATGGTATTTCATACTATATTCAGCCTTGCACAAAGTGCTGCTCTGAGGTACACCCGACAGGAAGTCTTTTAAACCCAAGTAATGTTAACAAATGCTGAACAGAGAAAGGAGAAAAATTACACAGATATGTTTACAGATAGCCTTTGGTGTACTTTCACTCCACCTCAATGCATGCTGGGATAAGCTCCATCTCATTGTGACCCTGAATATGATAAGCATGTATACATGAAAATGCACAGAAACAAAAATATATATATACACACACACACACACACACTAACTGGCATCTTTAAATGACAAACAATATACAGTATGTAGCAAATTTACAAGTGTTTTTTGCACATTACCTGAGAAATCAATGCCTGTTGAGGCTGTGGGAGCTGTGAAAATAGAAGGAAAGCAGAAAATATCAACATTTTGTTGACTTTTGACCAAACTGCAAAGTCAGACATTCATTACTCACAACAGTTCTCTAAAAAGCCCATGGTGGTGTGGTCACTAATGAAAACAAGATCGAATGTAGTCGTTGCTATATATAATACACACTGCCACTTGAGGGGCTGTATCAAATAACCCTTACAGCACACTTCCAAGATCTCTCTCAAGACACAGCTGCTTATTTATCAGGAAATCTAGAGCACTAAAGCATAAGGAAAAATAAATGCCAGTCTTTCCACTACAACATGGTTGCATGCCAGCGTTAGGAGAGATAACCACTATGTCATTAAAAACAAACGAACAAAAAAACCATAAAACTCAACCACAAAAGATGATTTAAGAATTTTATTGAGATCTAGTAGTAATAAATAGATATCAGTAAACTAAATGTTCTTTTTCCCCAGGACAGTCAGGACTATCCAGACATACTATAATTTAATATAATAGCCTATCACTTGTTTAAGTTTGTCAGTTCAAAACCTGATTAGACTACTTCACAAATGCTCTGCTGCACAGACTAGCAGGTATACTAGCATCATTGGAAAGCGCTGGTCATGCGGTATATTTTGAGAAACGACTCACAACGAGGGAGTGAGTAACGTTACTTATTAGGATTAAACCCAGTAAAATTTACCCAATATTAGTTATTTCAATCGACCATCTTCCTTTCTCTCTCCCTCTCTCCTGACAGATCACAATTTACACAAAGCAATGACAAAAATATATATCATTTATTTGGGAGTCTAACTCCATCAATACCTTTTTGTAAGGTTCTAGTGGCTGTTTATGAGGACTATCCAAATTAAAATGAAAGTGATATGAGCCTCTCTTTCACCTGATGAGGTACATTGTACAGTTGCTGGGGGGGTTGCTGCTGTTGTTGTTGTTGCTGCTGCTGATACTGCTGGAGAGCTGTATTGATCTGAGACTACAGACAATAAAAATAACATGGGATAGACTGTAACTGATAAAACAATGGTACGTGTGACCAGAAAAAGATGCACATTTGCTAACTGTGTTTTGGACTGACCTGTTGTAGAGCTGCTGCTGCTGCAGCTTGCTGCTGCAGGGCAGCAGTTTGCTGAGACAGCTGATAGTTTGCAGCAGACTGGTTGCTAAGAGACACTGCAGCCAAGGCTGACTGCTGGGAGTAAACTGAGGGAGATGCTCCCAAAAGAGATGGCTGCTGTACAGCAAGAGCTGCATAGAGGAGGAAAAAAGGTACAAGACTTGGTCAAGTGTGGAAAAATGGGGCCATCTCTGAAGAATAAGATGGTGGAATGGATATGAGAGCACATGTAAGAGTTGGTGAAGTCTTAATAGCAAAATGAGGACAACATTTAATGTTTTGAGCATAACTTAGTACCAGGTAAAAGAGGAAATGCAATAGCCTGGACCCTTAGGTTTGCTATACTTACAGTGCAGACTGTTGAGATCAATAGACTGTCCTGAGTGCCCCGGCTGGGACACTGCTGTGGCAGCAAATTGAGTCGCCCAAGGTGGATTCTTCTGTCCCCCAAACTGGGCCATGACTCTTCAGGTTAAGCAGGCTCTTCTCACCAGGCCGATGCTTCTTACTAAAAACAAACCATAATATGCAGCATATTAGTAGGATGTTCAGGAGATATTAGGGTCAAACAACTAATATTTTTTCGGCACCTGTAACAAACATTTTAAAATGATATGCAGTGAAACATTTTAAAGTATGAAAGATATTACAAGTTTGTTTATAAAATACATGAAACCTAAGCAGACAAATTGTATTGCCTATTAACTTGTCACTGTCTACTTTGCAATGCAGCAAGTTACCCAGAGAGACGTACATTTGCTGCCAAAGACCGGGAGCAGGGGGTAAACAATGACAACTAAAATTGGCTCCAATGCAGCACCATAACTTTGGGAAGCAGCAGCAAAGACGACAAACGTTATGGTGTGTTTGTGACACCCTCCTTCAAATATTAAATCGGATAGAATGTCTTCTTTAATTTGAGAACAACTTTACACGGCTAGCATGTTAACACTGCCCGGACAAGCAAAATGAACCTTATTTTCATACGTTTATTTCAATAACTCAGTTAATGTTAGTCTAATGTTTACTGAAATTGTTAGGCCGTTTGAGGGAACACCTCAAGAGAACAAATTCGTAGTAAAACTATGTTATTAAAAATGTTGCCCTTGATTTTGCCTGCGCTCCGTACATTTAACGTTAGGCTAACTGCTGACACAGCATCCTCGACAGGATAGCTGACGTTAACCACTTCTACTGACAGTAGGCTAGCGCAGGCCGCTAGCTAACATTTAAAGCTAACAAGAAAATTCTATTTTTAAGGCTAACATGGGATATCTTAAGCTTTTTGTAGGTTAACGTTATTGTGGCTTTGTCAACATTACGAAAACATGTGTTTAGCTACAACCACTTTAAAACAGCATGACCAATGTAAAAAGGTAGTGTGTACATAGCTAGACAACACCTAGCATCTGAACGTCGCTAGCTTTGTTGCTAAATTAGCCTCGTGCTGGATTAGTAATGGAGCAAGGCCCTAGTTAACCTTCACTGTCTCTTGCAGTTAGCACTGAATGGCTAATGTTTTAAAAGCATAAGCATACACATTTTCCAATGGCAACAGCTCTCCTGCATGGAATTCAAGTTTGCAATTATATTTTCACGATAACTAAGGTTGGATATAAAAAAAAAAAAAAAAAACGTTGTCAACACTGCTTACCGCTGTCCCCTACGCCGGCCGATGAATACAAACTGCGCATACGCGGAATATGGACCACACCGTGCACGCTCCAAGCGGCCAAGACATACACTCACTGGCCACTTTATTAGGTACACCAATTGTGGGCAACTCAATGCAGCATTTCTGCCTTAACACCTGTGTTTATGAAGCTCAAAAAGTTTGAATTTTTGGTGAAATTGTTTATAAATGTATAAATTCAATTACATGTTTATTTTTGCGGTCACAGATCAAGGTAGTATTGTACAGGACTACATTATATTTAAAGTTGTCTATATTTTTGTGGCCCCAGCTATATGCGAGAGGGTCAGCATATTAGGAAGATATTTGAATATAATGTAGTCCTTTAACTATGACCTCAATAATAAACATATGTCAAATCAAGAATCTTTATTGTTATTATGCATAGCAGAATGAATTTTTTTTCCGGCAGCTCTTGGATTAAAAGACACATTACTTACATAACACACAATTGTATAAGTCAATATAAAACTATGAGCAAATAAAAAGGGATGTATGGGACCTAATCAGGTCAGCAGCATGTTAGCAGCAAAAGAGTGTAGTAACATTATAAGGTGCAGCTCAGTGCAAATCTATATAACTGAATTTATATATTTATGACAATTTCACCAAAACCTGAAGCATTTTGAGCTTCATAAACACAGATGTTAAGGTGGAAGGGTTACACTGCATTGCATACAATTGTACAGGTGTACCTAATAAAGTGGCCAGTGAGTGTATATCCACTAGATGCTGCATTGGGGCTTCTAAGATGCCTCTCACCTGCCACCTTATTGTCAAGGGTGGCTTGGCCATTCTGCCCCCATTATTCTTTCAGCAGCTGTAGAATTCCTTGTTTTTCTACCCACACAATTACATGAATTATAACTGGAAGAAAATAACAATAATATGATAAAAAGGGAATCAACAACAAAGTTTTGTTTGTACTTCCTGAACATTGCTGTCAGAACATTACCCGCCTCTGCATCTGATTCTGATTATCTGTTCAATATCTACCTACATAAAACTTAATTATATGAGTCATGACTGGAAGAACCTAATAGTAATATTTTAAAAAGGAAATCAACAAAGAGTTGCTTTCAAACTGTGAACTTTAATGTGCAAACAGTAAATCTTGAGAATAGAACACAAAGCACAAAATACACTAAACAGATCATTTGGTATCTTACACCGTAAACCTACTTTAGCTTGAAGAGCAACTGTAACCTCAGTAACATTTTATTTAATTTTTTGAGGATGGATTAACAAACAAAACAGTTCTGTTTCATATGGTATTAAGTGGCAACTGGACCTTATCAATTTTTCAATGAACATGAACATATTCATAAACTTTCACAATATCTCCATTGTAAAAAAATATTGTCAAAATATACAGTGTCATAAATAAATACATTTACAGTCATTACAGCAGAACAATTTCTTTTACTGAAAAACAACTGCCTCCTCTGTATACACATATACTGTGCATCTTCTTTCCTTTGTAACAGGAGTATACAGTATGTACACAAATTAGTGGCTGAACTCTTAACAGTATAGAGGATGCACACAAAAAATCAGGAATTAATTTTCTCTCTTCATTCTTATGTTATACAATGATAATAAGTGAAAGTAATGCATTGTTTTTTTTACACAGTGAAACATGGTTTTCTTTTAACAAAGCTAATAAGTGTGTTCTTTGAGGAACTTTTTATTCTTGTAATTTGTGTTCTAGTTCTGAGAAAACCTTTGCATTAACTTCATCCACTTCATCTTCCACCTGGGTAAAAATGACAATTGACAAAATGTTAAAATATGACATAAAAGGTTTAAAGATATAGTTTACAATGCTTCTAATCATGACAAAAACTCAGTTCAGGATAGTAGCACACAAGTAAAAGTTGTATCTAAATAGGATTCCCTTTCCTTTGGTTTCATCATGTTATTCAACTCTACTAGCTAAACCTGTATAACTGCACCCAAAGATCGAAAAATGACTGTCTGGTTTCATTGCTCAGCCTTGAGGATCCAGAATGTCCTGCTTATGATGATTTAAAAATCCATACAACTTAAGAAACCACTCCCAGAATGAGACCAGCAAACCCTGATCTCAGAACAAAAGCCTGCATAAATCCTACACAGCCCATATTGTACGGCATGACAGATCTTCACCTGTTCCACCTTGTCTACTTCTGGGATATAAAACTGCAGCATATTCTGAACACCATTCTTCAGGGTGACTGTAGAGCTTGGACATCCTGTGCAGGAACCAACCAGCTTCAGCTTGACTGTGCCATTCTCAAATCCCTTAAAGATGATATCCCCTCCATCTTCCTGCACCGTAGGTCTTGTAACAGTCATATCATAATGCACAGAACAAAATATGCAAACAAAACAAATGGACAGATTAAGAATGTTATCGCAGTACAACTGTCTTTAACCACACTGTCAGCATAATTGTTAAGAGTGCCAAGTAGAGCATTATGACAGATAATATCTGATGAGGACTGAAATAATATTTACAACACACAAACTACCAAACCATGAGCAATAGACTAACATAGGCTTATATTATCTAAATTATTCTAAAGGTTACTTTTTCTTACCTTATTCTAGTGTCCAGAAGTTCCTTTATCATGGATACAATATCATCATCGTCTTCAGAGATGCCTACAATAAAACAACAGGTATAGTGTAGACATATTTACACAATATATAAAATACTGCAGCCACACAACAAGAGATTGCAAAAAGGTCACACTGCATACTCACTGCTTTCATTGTGCACCACCCCTGTTGTTATCGGGCCACCACTCTCAAAAAACTTAGCAATGGCCTCCGAAGCATGATGCTTAATGTCTGTCCATGCCACATCCTCATCTATCTGACAGAATGCCAAAGATTTTATGTGGTACCAATCCTCACAGATTTCATAAAAATCACAAAGACTAGGCATAAAATTCCATTTAATACTTACTTTAGTGACTGTTATGAAGTCAGGACCAAAGAACACACTTTTTACTCCTTCGATTTCAAAGAGGGCCCTGAAACAAACATGTTACCATGTTATTGTTCAACAGACATGAAAAGCACACAACAGCAAAAAACTTGTGTTCATTTTGATAAATTTAGTGATAACCTCCTTATTCAAGCGTGTCAGTAATGATTGCACTGTTTTTGACAGTGTTTTATCAAGACACAAAACTAAACAAAATATATCAGCAAAACAAAGCAGCATATTTACACAATGCATTCTTGCATTCAGCTGCTTTATTTCACACAAATCCTGGAGTATCACATGGTGTATCTGTGAAAAGGTACATTTGTCACAGATGCTGTATGTACTCTTCGACCAAGCAACTCTATCACTGTCAGAAACTGACAACATGAAGATAATCTTAAAGAAGATAAAATCCATTGTAAAACTTTAATTTAAAATGAGAGAATAGAAAAGAGGCTCACTCTGATGCATTTATTTGAAATCTTTTTGAATTGTGGATTTTTAGAAGTCAAAATAAATGCAAATGAATATGAGTTCTCATTCCTTTATTATGTCTGTCTGGGAGCACACTTTTCAATATGCTTTTTTTTTTTGCCCTAAGATTTCAAAACTTGTATTAATCAAAATTAGATAAAACAGAATGTAAAAATGAGAAAGGACAACATAAAGGTGACACACCTAGCTAGAGATGAACATTCTGCTGAGCTTGAAGAGGGAAAATCAAGTGTCCCACTTCCTAGGACAGGTTTGCCAGGGAGAAATTTTAAGCTTCTGGGGTTTGGAGTGTCTTGAGTCTGGATGGACAGCTGTCTTACTGAAAGATATCATTAAAAAGTCAAGTTTTATGGCTTGCTTCTTCTTGTCTACATGGTAGTTTCATCGTATTGTGTTAGAACAAGATGACAGTGACCATACATGACAATTTCATTATTTCCAATGGCATCTTTAACCAACCAGTACTCTACAGCTCAAATGATTACCCGATTATGCAGTTAGTTGAATGGCAGAACATGCATTTGTAACAATTTTGATAGTTAGTCTAAGTTGTTGTTATTTTTAAATAAAATGCAAAATTAGAGGTTCCACCTGGTCACACGTTAATATCTACTAGTTTCCCCGGTTTTCAAGGACAGTACACATTTTGTTCTGTCAGCCAGTCTGACAGCCAAAGCAATTAGAGTATGTTAAATTAGGCTTTAAGGAATAATGAGAAAATAATTAATTGTTCACTATTTTCTGATATTTTATACACAGAACAATCAGTTGATAATTAAAGAAAACAATTGCCACACATGTTGATAATGCTTAATTATGATAAGTGGCGAATAATTTCCGAAAAATGTGCAATTAATCAAATTATGTGGACCCAGATGATATGAAAACCTGTGATGTGGTGGTCCCTAATCAAACTTCGATGGATTCTCACTTGGGAAATGTATGGTTCTTGTTCCGAGGTGAGGCTGAACTCCTCTAAAGCTCTGGGCCGTGCTTCCGGTCCTGTCTTGAAACCTTACAACGTAAAAAGACAATGTTTATCAGTGAACACAGTACTTAAAGTCATTCATTTATTGAGTCAGCACATTAAGGCTGTGCTAATGGACGTTTTCCTTACAGATGGTTGTTATCGCTGGGCTTTGTAACTACAAGCTTACATACTGTTATCCAGAAGCTAAATCCTGTTACTGGTATGAAGTTTACAGTCCGAGCTAGATAAGGTTAGCAGCTAGATAAGGTCACATGTTCGAGATTGGGAAATACACACACATACACCCAAAAACGATAAAATATGTAAATACTTAAACTGTAAATGGCTGGATAGATGTATTAAAGTTATAAACCGTGTAGTGCCGCAGTTTACTAATTAAGGTTAGCGTTAGCTAAATGTATCACCTCACCCACACGACTAAATGTCTAGTTTATGCTTAACTTAAGCATTAAAATATATTGTATCAGCAACACACAATAAAATATATTATATCAGCAACACAAATAACAATATAATACAGTTGGAGAAGTTCAAACCTAAAGTGAGCCCCATTTCTTGCTCGTACCAACTGCTGAAGACCCCATCTCACGTAAGCCGCCATTTTGTTTGTTTTGAAAATGAGGACCCCATGTGGTAGACAACACTTAATCCTGACTAGGGCTTTGATTACAAATATGTTTCTGATATTGACCTTTTTTATTTTCTTGGTGAAACTGTAAATTGAATTTATTAGTAAGAGACAAATGAGTAAAAAAAAGATAAGTCTAAATGTTCAGTAACCCAATAAGATTAAAATACTGTAAGTGGTGAAAAATACATTTACTCCACCAAATAGACAAAAATGTTCATATACACACACATACAATATTTTAATGTACATTTAAAACATGTTAGTACATTTTAATGTAAATAGTTTTTTTTTATTTAAGAAAAAGATTGTATGCAGGAGTGGTACTTTTACTTAAAAGATAATGGTAGGCTTATATCCTCCACCACTGATAAAACAGTTATCACTGAGTACTCTAAGGGTACTAACCAATAGCATTCATTCATTCATTCAGTGCATAAGACCCTGTCCCTAGGTTGTTTTGTTCACACTGTGATGACTAGCAACCTGTCCTGGTTCCAGCACTAAACCCTTTCTTGGCAGAGGTAATAAAACAGAAATTGGCCACTGAAGCAGACTACACATCACAGTTCACCACTGGAAGACAGGTAAAACAAAGAATGGCACGTAAAGCATTCAAAGAATTTCTTAGACAACAGTCCTAGAGAGCCACTGTTTTGTTCTCTTCTTCACTTTGATATTTCTCTGTAATATATGTATGTATATACACATCTTTGATATTTCTCTGTAATATATGTATATATACACATGTTCATATTTCAATCACCTGACAGTGTATAACAGGCTCTGTAGCCAGCTAAGATGAAACATAAAGGTGAATTCATTTTGAATAAAACAAAATATGGCTGCTTCAAGAAGGCCAAGGCCAACCCTACATTTCCCAATATTTGTTCTGACAGGAGCAAGGTGGTGCACTAAAGGAGTGGCAAAGAAAGAGAGACTCTCTCATAAAAGCAAGGCTGTAATCTGTATGGTAGAAGATTATAACGTACCACAGCAGTGTAACTGTCTGACTGAAAAAGCTGAACAACACTAGGGTAAGTACATTATTTTTTGTTCTCATGTTAATTATGCTACGTAGATATGAGGCTGACTCCATGAGAAACCTATAAAGAAGCCGACTGCTGAGTGTTTGAGAAGGTACCTGGAATTAACGAATCTTTGTTTCAACTTGTTACACGTGTTCTTCACCACCAAGACATGGGGTTCTGGTTTATCTTCCCCATCTCCGTTTCTCTGGTGTCCTTCACTGGAACATGGGCTGTGTAAGTAAATCCATACTTTCTTATTTGTCTTTACATCCTGGTGAAAATATAAGAACATCTGATTTTACAAGTACACCTTTTAAAGTACACTGTGCTCCTGTCTTTGTGTGAACTGTGTGCCTTTATGCAAATGCTGTTTACATTAGATTTTAATGAGCTATTGATATTTGTGAAAAGTGTATGTCAAAGTCTACTTTAAGGAAGCTTTTGAATTTAAAGCAAGGAAATGAAAGACAAGTGCTATGTGATCCGACTAGTTTTTCTTGCTGTAAGGAGTGTATATCGAACTATGAAAAACTTCTTGTTCATGTTGACACTGAGTTAGTCATTTAGCTCTGTTAGTCATTAGTGTCTGTACATGCAGTTGTTTTTCTGTTTTGCCATTTTGGTTCTTTCCAGAACACCTCATTATGGGTGTTGGTAGTTGGTAGTCATATACATGACATTATGTTTCACTAAATATATTGATTAATAATGACAATATCCAGTGGAGTTAGATGTTCCATTGTTTCCATGTCAGAAATACTTCTGGTGTTTATGCTGCTAATGATTCAACTTTATTCAGCCAAAGTTGAAGCTAATTCCTTTTGATGCAGTATTTTACACATTATTATATCAATAGTCAAAAACTGTTATATTTTCAGTGTTAATTTCTATCACATTAAGAGAGAGTCCAAGCCCAAATATTAAAATGGCGGCACTATAGTCTTTCTTTTGTTTTATATTTCTAGATATGGCCTGGCCTTCTCCAACAACCACGTGTGTTCCCTCAGTGACTGGTGAGTTGTGTCTCATTACTGTAAAAATTTAACATTTGGTTGTAACATATTCTATAAAACTTTATTAATTTGTTTTCAGGACGGGTGTCAACTACTGCAGAGGGAACTATTCAGTTGGATGTTGCCTTGCTCCCACTATAAGGTAAAAATACAATTCACTTAATTTCATCTCTTGCTTATTTTTTCTGCTGGAATGAAATTGTGAGACATAATTGAACAAATTATGTGATTCCAGCTCAAGTGGAACCTATGAACCTGAAAATTCACTTTTTTCAGCCACAATCAACGCTGGATCTTTTCTGTGTGAGTTTACCTGCTAAATGCCTAAACACATTTAACCTAAGTTATGCTGCTCATGATGTGTGATATTGTATGTGTTATACCAACTGTACTCTCCTCTTTAGTTCTGCTGTTCTGTGTGTTCCACCATGCACACATTATAGAGAAACACACATGTCATTTGCTCCGGAGCAAGTCTGCACTGATCTTTGGCTTGCTAGCCACCATTGGGGCGTTTGCAGCTGGAAACTGCAATGTAAGTACTGTGTTTTATGCTAAATATGTTTGAATAACTTTAACTTGTAACATTATATTGCTGCCTCAGATTGTCAATGTCAAAACTGTGAGAGAAATGAATCTCACAAAACAGTAAGCTCTGACACGGTTTCATCTTATAATGTCAATAATAGAGCTGAGCAGCTTCAATTTGCACCTGTGCTGAAACAGCAAACAAGGTCGCACCTATTTGTTTATCAGTAATGATTCAGAGCACAAGCACTGCTGCAGATTTTGACACCGGATATTTCACTTTGAAGTGAATTTTACCCCTTTTTTTATATAAATCTTTTTTAGTAATGATACGTATTAGAAGTTCAATATAACACTAGCTCTGTATAATTTTCCATTTCCCATGTTGTACAACACCTTTCACATAAGCAGGTTTTAGCTCTGCATGAAAAACTACATTTAAAATTTTTATTTCTGTCTACTGATATTGCCAGACATTAAAACCAGATGAGAATGCCTTAAGTTAAACTGGGGCAAAGAGTTACCAGCTGTCTTACCAAACTAACTGAGCACATTCACCACCCAGTTAGGAAGTGAATAAGAATAACTGATTTCACTTATCTGCCTGTCTGGTGTCTCTACTGACTGTCCTCCGCAGCCAGGTGACCTAATTATCTTGCACTACCTTGGAGCTGGTGTCAGTTTCGTGTGCATCTGCTTCTACACCTGCCTGCTCACTTCGCTGACTGGGTATTGTGTGCTGACAGGATACGAGAGGGTCCTCTACCCACTACGCATCACCTTAACTGTAACTCAAACCATTGCCACCCTCTGCTGTATCTTTTTTACAAACTGTTTTTATAACTGTTCTTTTGTGTGGTTGAGTAATTCACAAAATAGATGTTAGTAATTTTGTTTTCAAAGGTAAAATGATAGGTGTGCAGTGAAATGCGGCTGAAAAACTTTACAAGGTTCATTTGGTGTGGCTTTAAACAGGATGTCAGCAATTGACTTTAGCAGTGATGATTGAGTAATGCTCTCCAGCTGGTCTACAGCATCACAGTGCCTCTGTACTATATAAGGATTAGGTCCGCAGCAGTGTTTACAAAGTGGGTCTGATCACTACAATCCACATGGCAGAATTAAATATGTGTTAATAGTTTTTAAAATCCACATCACTGTAGCCATTGTTCCCTGTAACACTCAGCTTTAAATTTGTCTTCACACTTTTACATCTACAGGACAAGCTGTGAAGTAACAAAGCAGTTCTTTTTTGTGAATCAGTTTAGGCTTAGCTCACAGACAATATACCACTAGTTGGTGATCGACATTTCCATATTTGGTGATTTGAACCTCTGGGCCCCTAGAATGAAGTGTCTCAAGTAAGAATCAAACACTTTAGCCTACAGTATGTGTTAAAGAACATGAGGCACCTTGTTGCACATGTTTTGATAGCAAAAAGAAACATAAAACTCAATTTTCATCACTATGAGCATCTGCAGTAATATTAATAAACATTTGCTGAATTTAATTGAAGATTTTGAAGAAATTGCAATTTCAAAGCACAAATTTAGGAGATAATATACTCACAGCATTGAACTAAAAGCTAAAGTCTGCCTGAAGATTCATCCAGGTCATTGTATATTTAGAAGTGCTAAGACATACGCAGCCAGTTTGAAGTCCAGCTGCCACCTCTAGCCATACAATAAAAATTTTGACTGGCTGCCACCAACTGTTCCATACATCCTTAACATGACAACCTTCAGATACAGTTTTGTTTCCCCAGAATGAGTATTTTTACGTTCACCTGTCAGCTATATTTGAGTGGATCCTTAGCATCAACCTGGAACTGTTTGAGCTCAGCTACACCGTGGAGTTTTGCTTCTTCTCGTCCTTCATGATTTCCAATCTGCTGGACAAACGAGAGGAAGAAAAGCCTTTGATGATGCTGGTGCCCTGATATGAAGCTGTCGGGGTCCAGCTGAAGAATATGAGCAGAGGATAAACTGAATAAGAAAAGACAATGGCTGGAGGACCAACAGTTTCTTAGATCAATGTGCAATGATGTCTTTATATAGATTTATGGATTATGACCACCTTTTCCTCCCCCTTTCTTTATTTATTTAAACAAACTAGCTGCGACAGAACAAGTATACAATAACATTTTGATACCTAATGAACAACTGACAATGCCTAAGCTAATAAGCACCATAAACCATGAAGATCTACATAAATATTTGTTTAATAATAATGTTCTTTAATTGATCTAAGTACTTGAATACAGCTTTGGCACTTTAATAAAATCACAACCACATACATTGATTAAGATTAATGCTTTGTCAGGAGGGTGGGGGACATTGTAATACATCCATACACAAAGTACATTTTAGGCCTTTGTAACTATCCTGTTTGACGTGATCAGTAACACTGACTGACAGTCAGAAATATGGGTTATACAGTTCATTCAACGTAGAAACAATGAAGCCAACGCCCCAACAGGCTTAATATAAAAGCAGTAAATCCATTGTTGTCACTCGTGCAGTGTCGTGGGTGTTGTCTGAATGCTTTCCATTACATGGTTTTCAGGCGTGGTCTGTGTATTTCTGTGTATCTGGTTGTCATAGGACAGACTAGAGTGATTTCTAAATGTAATGCATTTTTGTAAAGTAGCTTCAAGGCCCTACAACATTTTGTTTCTTGAGAAACAGTCCTACATAAATACAGTATTTTCTGCCAAAGTTAAGAGCAGCTTCACTAGAGACATTTCTGGTTGTCCTTGTTTTTCTTCTCACTGGTTTTAAGTGGACAAAGCATAGTTGGGAAAAGTGATATTATGTGCTTATCCATTTAGCAAATACTTTAATCCACAGTCCTGAAAAGGCAAATTAGCTGACATTAAGAAGGGTGTTTTTATTGTTATTTAGTCTTTAATATTGAATGAATGTCACTTTCGGCTTTTGCCCATTTAGGGGTCACCACAGCGAATCGTCACACTGACGACTCGCATGTTGACATTTGGCACATTTTACACCGGTTGCCCTTCCTGACGCAACCCTCACTTGAACCCACGCCGCAGCGGTGAAAGCGCTGCGCCTTAACCACTAGCCTACCAATTTAGTCTTCAATATTAATGTTCTATAAAACTACTACTTGAAAACATGTTTTCAGGTGCTTTAAACCAGCTGTAATCATCTTTTGGTAATCAGTGTGTAAAATCACAATGTGAAATCAGTGTGAAAGGGGTTATGACAAACCTAGACATGATTCTGCAGCAGCTAGGTTTCAGCAAAAAAAGAGCTCTAAAATCCACTGCAGACAGACACAGTGGAGCATTTTACAGCTGAAGAACCAGATGCTTCCCTCAGGAACTGGTAGAATCCAAAATCATATTAAAAAATAAAAAAAAAAGTGAATACTGGACTAGTATTGTCTAGAAAGAACAACTGCAAATGAATGATATTAAGGAAAAAAGGGTGATATGTCAGTGTATAGCAAAGATATCTTTTATGGCAGATTTAAGTCAATGAATGTTATACTTAACCACAACGTTTACAAAATAAGACAACATGGTTCTGGTTTTAATGCAAAGCACTTAACCTTTACTTGAAAGAAGGTAATATACATCCTGGAATTATAGATAATAAAGAAACATTATGAGGAAAGTCATTTCACAATGAATATCTTCTTTCTTTCGCATCAACCAAGAGTGGAGTGCGACATTATCTACAGTTTTTGTTAGGAAGAAAACAGTGAAAAGCACATCTAATTATCTCAGCATCTTTACTGTATTGTACACTGTAAAAAATGTAATCTTTATGCAGTAGTCCACATTATTGACTTTAATAACAAAAAGCTAAACTATTTGAAAATACATGACTTTCATGGTTGTGTTTCAACTAAGTTCAACTGTGATGCATACATTATAAATAAATGTAAGGGGAAGAAAACAATTCAGAAAGTACTACAAGCAATATTCCACAATTCCAGCATGGCTGAAACAATAAGTGGCCTTAAATCCAAACCCTATAACTTTGGAGCATGACCACAACTTTTAGAAACATATTAAGATACTGTAGATTTTTCAGGCTGGTGAGTCTGAAACTCATGCTGAACACTTCTAGATCAAGATAAAATTTGTTCTCAGAAAGGACCAGTTGCCTACTATTATCTCCTGTGAGGTGAGAAATACTTTTCGTAAAGAGTGAGAACTCAGCATGGCCTTTCTAGTTAAGAAAGGATTATTTTATTTTTTTTTATTTTTTTTATTTTTTTTTAGCAACTCAAAGCCATTAGATACTGAAAAAAAAGCTCATTCTCAGCTAAGCTGGGCAGGTCACTGGTATTAATCCAAGAGCTCTTCAACTCTAAAAGGAAATTATTTGTGTTCTCCTGCTCACATATGACACACATCTTCAGCCAAATATTCTTCTCCTTTCCGGCCTCCTCTCTATCCATAACTATCACTCCACTGATTTGAAGGAAGCTCTGACTATACACACAATTAACAGCTCTCTTTTCAATAAAAGGAAAGGACACTACAGTAGCTGACAACTCAAAAATCATTAATGTGATAATGCAGTTTGGTAATTGTTTAAATCTACAGCAATTTGAAATGTGGGAGAGGGTTCAAACAGAGTACATGTTCTTGGTGGTGGAGCCACTCTTGCTGGACGTGTCTTCATGTGACTGGTAGCCAATCATGGCTTTCATGGGGAGGTTCAGACGCTCTTTATAAAGCTGCCTGTGGAAATACAAGATGAAATTAAATGCTGTGTGATAACTACTGCTAACAGTGTCACCATCTAGTGGGCAGCTGCAGCTAGCAAATCTAACTTATACTTGCATTACCTACTCTTAACAAGGTGACTTTACAACTTACCCTATCGTCATGATGGCGTCCCTGTTTTGGCAGTTGCCTGTCCAGATGGCTATTTTGTCACCTTTATGTCTGACGTTGACCACGGCACCACATACATCATCACTTGCCTCATCAAATGACTCACCAACTAAACACAAGAGCTGCACAACACACAAAACATGACATACTACATGAATTATTTTGTTCCTTTTCCAATCACAAATCTCAACCATAAGAAGAAACACGTGACAGATGTTTAGCTGCCTACCGTCTCCATCCAGTAGCGGTCAAGGTCATTGTGTCTCTGTTGTTTATTTAGAGTCATCAGCCATCGACCCCCCAGCTTGTTCCTTTCGTCCTCCCACATCGGCTTGATCCCATCCTGGTACACAAAGTGAAAAAGCTTTTAAATATTTCATTTAAATAAAAAAAAAGTTATGTGACACAATGCTTCTTAGACATAAAAATAAAAATTAAAAACTAAACAGGCCTTACCTTAAATAAGGAATAATCGCAGCCAAACACAAGTTTGCTTGGTTGCTGTATGTGGTTGTATAATCTGTAAGAAACAGTGTGTCATCAGATATTTTTAATTAAAAAAAAGTACTTCAGTAGCACTTCTTACACTTCCTGTTTAAGGCAAAATAATGGCAGCATCTTTCCACCATTCTGTTCTGCATAAATGGTACGAACCCAGGCTGGGGGTATATCGTTGACCGTGTCATATGCCAGGTGTGGAGTAAGTAAAAGTGCATCATCTGTTCTAGTGCCAACAGTTCAAATTATTGGCACAGTGAAGAATTCAGATGCAATTTAACAAAGAAGAATATTGTTTGTGAAAAGGTGCCAGCAGAGGTGAATGTATCATTATTTTTTTAATGTAGCTTTTATGCCACTATCTCAGCAATCTGTTCCATCCTTGCTTCTCACATACATCACTGAGTGAAGGGCAAAACATTTACTTATTATACAAATTACACTGCAGGATTAGCAGAGAAAACTTACGCCCAAAAGTCTTCCACTGTGTCAAACTTTGCAATGAGACGCAAATTCTCTTCCCAGGTTTTGCTCTTGTCGTTTTTGAAATACCACAGGGCCCATCTGAGAGAGAGGAAAAGAATCATAACACTCAGTATTCACTGTGGTCAAATGACAAAGAATCACAAACACGTCTCAGCAGTAGAAAGAGGAATTGTCTAAAACGGCATTTACTGTAAGTGCTTTATTAATAAAGCACTACAGATAAATACAGATATACTGTGAATCCTATCTCTCAGCACAACAGTTGGTTACAATAGCATGCCTATCAATGCAAAAGAACAGAGCCAGCGAGCTATTAGACATACAACAAATGCCGCCTTTGTGTATATTGGGTGCTGTTATTCTTTCATCTATTCCCAGGACGGGTGGGGCTAGCAGTGGAGGGATAAACACCAATGGTAATACAGTGAGCAAAGCCAAATTAGAGGCTAAAACTGACTATATATATTTGACAAATTATACATAAAGTGTATGTATTTAGACAAGAGAATAAAAAAAAAAGACCCGAGTGCTTCCTCAAAGCAGCTTTGAGTGTCAAGAGGTAAAAACCAAATACATAAAAAAGGATGCCTACTCTTTTCAACAATAGTTAACAATGGCCACAGTAAACCTTTGTACTGCATCCACCTGTTGCTTCACCTTACCAGACAGAGCTGGGATGCACTTTTCACTGAAATGCCCCAGACCTGTTATTGTGTATCTCACTGTCATTTGACTAAATCCCTTATTTTCAACGACACTATAAGGGCGGCAGCGTCAATAGCTAATGTGCTGTGAAAATAGCTGCTAACACTAGCCCCGTTACCTGCCTCAAGATAACTGGAGTTAACTGTCCTGAAGCTTTGTAGGTGAGGAGCGAGGATCATTGTATCCCCAGTTTACTGGGCCCACACGCTGCACATTCTGCACTCTGCAGCTGTTTTATCAAGAATCTCTTCAATGTTTTTGCTGAATCTGAAATATTCCCATATTCCCTCAGACATGTTTTTAGCTCGTGGGAAAACCTGAACATAAACTGTTCAGGAATGGTTTAAGAAACATGAGAAAGAGTTTAAGCTGTTGCCTTGGCCTCCAAATTCCCCAGATCTCAATCCGATTGAGCATCTGTGGGATACACTGGGAAAACAAACAAACAAACAAACAAACAAAACAAGTCCAATCCATAGGGGCCCCACTTCTCAACTTCCAGGACTTCAAGGATCTGCTGCTAATGTCTTGGTTTCAGATACCAGAGGACACCTTCATACGGCTTGTGGAGTCCATGCCTCAATGTGTCAGAGCTGTTTTGGTGGCATGAGGGGGATCTACACAGTAACAGGCAAGTGGTTTTAATGTTGTGATTGATCTGTGTACACATTATTACAGAGCACAGGTGTGACTCATGGCAAACCTTGCTGATGATGCAGTTTGTTTAAATGCCTTGTCTTAGGATGTAAACAATCATGGCAGACAGTAGGCCAAGTTAATGATGGATTAATCAGTGGTCCTGCTCCTCGTACGTCACTAAATTCTGTCAGACTAACACGAAGTGCACAAATTCAAAGTTAACATGTTCCCTCAGGCATGGGCAGTGATACCAACCACAGGTGTAGCTATCTTGGCTAACTGCTGCAGCCAGGGTTTGAGACAGTGACACTTCACAAGTCACAACATATATTTGTCAATAATATTTCACAACTAATTCCTAATAATTCCAGTGGATTTCATAATGATGAAAAGCATCTTCAAACTGCCTCCATTGGCAGGATATTATTTACAACAATGACTTTCTTGTGATTTTTCTGCAAACCTCCACCCCTAAATATCAATTAAGTTTAAAATAGTGCTCAAGATTAAGGTGTATAAAAACACATTAATACTGAAGGATTACAAGGTATTTCTCTACAAGTAGAAACAGCTGTTGTTTTATTCTCACCTGTTTTGCAAGGGGTGCTTGATATACTGTTCAGGATTTGCAACAACTTGGCTGTCAGTCTGTTGATCTTCAGTTTCAGCTGCTTTCTGAGGAGAGAGAGACACACACACAAACGGAGGGAGATGTTTAAATATTTACCAATCTTGTGATAGGAGTCCAACAATGAAACTACCAATTATGTTAATATTGTAATATTTGTATGATTAATCATTTAATCAACTAACAGTGCTTGAAAAATGACAACACCAACTGAAATCAAATCAAACTGGTCACTGATTATTTTGCTGTCAATTGACTAATAATCTCAGCAGTAGTTATACTACAGTACATCTTAAGTTAGGTCTTTTTCCAATCCTAAAACTGTCATTACAAGTAAGTGACAGTTTTCTAAACCAATTTTCTCCAACAGAAAAAGTAAGTAAGCAAAACCATTTGTGTGATAAGACATGGTATCCACATTAAAGTTATTGTCTTACACATCTGACAGTAGTGTCCAGCTGTGCAACGTCAACAGTTTTACTATTCACATTTCACAAAAAACAGCTAGCCTCAGGCTGGTTAAAATAATCTGTAAGTAAAATTTTAGATAACGTTACAGTTAAGTGAATTAACCTTTTCTTAGCATCACTCTTAGCATACGTGCTAGGCTAGATACAAGTTAGATACACACGTGTGCAGATTATCAAAAATGTGCCGTAATCTCATTATATTAATATTTACAGGCGCGGAAGGCTGATTATGATTACCGTAAGACACCGACTCTAGTATCGAAGTTGATTAAAGAATTCAATGACTGGAGTCTGAATGAAATGCGTGCGTTCCCTCCCTGCCAACAGTCAGGCAATGCCATGTACATGACACTGCTGTGTATGCTAACGCTAACTGTGAACCACGCCACCTGACGCATCTGTGAACCCGAAAATAACCATTTCTCAAAATTAGCTGGTGCCATTTAAAAGAAGCAAGATTATATAATAAAGTCGCCATGTATAGTGAAGACATAGCAATATTTCTAAACACATTAATCGAATGTTTTCGCTGTTTCTCGTCTCTCTTACCGGTTCCGATGTCGCCATCTTGACAGTGGAAAAGCTCTCCCCGTTCAGCGCCTCTGCGTCACACTCCAACCGCTCACACTCCTACGGAAGCCGCCACAGTCCATGTTGAAGTCGGTCACATGTAAACCATAAACTGTAGTAAATACATCCTACTGTATGGGTCGCGTAAACCTACATGCGGTATGCAAATTCAGTGGCCCCTTGATTGATTCTGTATGTTACAGTGAATGAAACGTCATTATATTTAAAAGTTACTGACAAAAAATACCTTTCTTTCACTTGAGATATTTATTTATTAGCTTTTGTACTTGTTGTAAGACTCAAAGAGTCTGCAGCAATATTTTCTATTAGATGCACTAACCTTTCAGTCAACACCCAACTATAGTGGAGCTCAGCATGTTAACTTATTGTTTAACTAATTTCTACTACTAATATAAAAATCTAATAATTCTATCTCATTTATTGTTTAATCATAATTAAGATGCAGGTTTTCTTTAGCTCTGACAAAATTCCCGATGTGTTTAGTTACTCATCTTACTGAGTCAGTAGCAAATTATTTTCTTTCATCCTCAATGTCATTTGAGAAAAAAAGTACATTTCCCCTGCAGAGAAATTGTACAAAAACAAGTAGTGATTCATTCCTTGTCACTGAGGACAAATAATACAATTCGCTAGCAGTGAGTCATATAGTAGGCTAGAGTGGGAAACTCAGAAAAAGTTCTGTTTGGCTTGTTGAAAAAGATCAGCCTACTTCACATTTCAAAACATCATGATGCAAACTGTCGCTGAATAAATGCTTTAAAAAGCCCTCATATATACTGTAGCTAACTAAACTAGATTAACTAAATTGTTTTATCTCGATCACACACATATTCTACAAATACATGTGTACAAATATCCACACAAGTCTAAAAAACAAATCATGACAGAGGTAATCATGATCAGGTTCAAAATATAAATATGACTTTATTTCACAAACCCCAAAGAGATCAGCCATCCATAAAAGGAATTGTAAATTTACTCTCTTCTCAAGTCTAAACTGGATATACTTTCAGTAAAGTACAGTATTTCAGTTTCAAAATAAGCAAGATCATCCATTAAACACCATCAACAGTACAGTAAAAACAATATGGTTCACATATATATTTACACAGTTTCTACTAATAAAAGTATTTTTTTCAGGTTTCTGAATGCTGGTGCTAGTTGTTAGTTCCTTGCTGATACAAAGACTTTCAATGTGGACTGAGAATGTCCCCACATATTAAATCAAAAGAAACATTTACAACTTTAACCTTGTCATGTGGTGTGGAAACATTTTTTTCTAAATCAAATGGATTTAAAACAGTTTACATTCACTTCATTTTGTGTGTATGCTGTGATTTTTGTGAATTGTTGGAGAGGGGGGTTATCTGTGGAAGGCAAGGTCTCTACATGGACATCTGCAGAATAAATAGCTTTTTTTTTATTGATAATTGAAAAACATAGTGATCAATTGCAGGGTATCAATGCACCTTAGTCTGTTATGAGCTAGTACTCTTCCAGAGTAATGATACCTTTGTATTAAATCATATACCAAATCAGTGTGTGCTGAGTTTCAAAAAAAGCACCATGCCATCACCGTTCAGTATATAACCAGATTAAGTCAATGCAAGTACCATGACATCTTGTCCTATTAGCACCAAAAAGAAGCTGACATACTGTATGTTAAAGACCAATATTTTTCTCACAGGAAACATTATACCACCAGTGTTAGTGTGAATATCAGTGAAAAGTCTTTATTGGTTGTGCTGAAATTTCATTGATGAGTTCTTATAATGAAGAGCTTCTGTTTCATGGGTAAAAAAAGACAATCATGATTCACCAGGAGTTGACACCAACTCCATGATTCAGACCCTGTAAAAATGCTGTCTGTAAACAAAGTCATCACAAGGGTCAAGCACCCAAAATCAACTTAGGCAACTGTCTGGGAGGGACCTGATATTTGAGTGCCTTTCGAACAAAAGCAGAGATAACCAAAAGAAAAATAGTTTGATTATTCACCATTGGTGAGCACAGTTTTGTATGGACAAACCTGGCAATATTCTGTTATTCTGTTGACATATCTGACACTTTGTGTTACTGTAAAATAAAATATAAACACGCCTCACTCATTAGCACCATTACAATGTACAGTAAATTTTTGAAATCGTATAATCACACTTGTGCCCTAAAGATTTTGAATTCCTTTTCCAGAAGGTGAACATAACTTAAGTGCAATGATGATAAGCACTTAGTTGGGACTACTTTCAAGTTAAATTTAGACAAATAAAAAAGTGCTTCTTAATATGCCATACATATTTGTGAATAAAAGACAAATCATCCAGACCTAGAGAAAATCAACAAACCAAAGAAGTACATTTCTTTCATGAACTGCCTGCAGATCTCAGAGGCAGCAGAAGGAAAAGCACAATGCTACATGTAACAATCTGTAGTAATTATATGCACAATATTAGTCATCTTCTAAATTATGTGATGTAATGAGTTGGCTCAACAAAGGTTACAGTGAGAATGGCACCAATGTCAAAACCAATAAGACTCATCTTATGAAAGGAGAACTATTGGCTGAAATAAAGAGCATAGTCCTAAAATACAATAGAAATTCTGAGTGTCAACACATAATGCAGTTTATAATAGAAATCTTGTAGCAAACAGGCTTACAACAGGAATTAAATAGAAATTGTTATGACCAGAATAAATAATCACATCCTTTTTGTTCTTAATCATGTATATAAAACCAGTTTAAAAATGTCTTTAAAATGCATCAAAGCACCATCTCTTTACAATAACAAAAACTCACAGTTAAAAAGCCAACAAACTTTGGTCTTCCTCATCATTTTGAAGGCAGAGACGAAGAAGGACAAAGTGAACAAACAGATATTAGAAAAGAACAATGAAAATGATGTAAAAATGAGAGTAGCAGTTTGAAGTTGGCTGAGGTAAGGCAGAAGCACAGGATGTTGGTGTTTTTTTCTGTATGTGTTTGTGTGTAAAACATGGTGACTATGTCCAGCGATTGTAGGGACCCGTCACATGTGTAAGAGCATAAGGGGACATGGTGATTACGCCATCCCTCGGGAGAGTCCATGCTTGACGTGTGGGGACATTCATGATCCTCCTTCTCTTCTCTGCCTCCTCTCCCAACTCCTCCTGTAGCTCCCCACCTTCAGCTCCGTTCCTGTTCTTCCCCAGGCTGTCTGCCATCTTTAATCTCTCAGCCTCCTCCTCCTTGTCCCGTTCCCGCTTGGCCATTTTGGCGTCCCACATAGCCATCCCGTGGCCTGGCTCATTTAGAGACTTGTGCTGGTAGAAGACCAGGGAGATGCGGGTAGGGTGGCTGCGGTTTGGTTTGAGGATAGGGGTGGTGGCGTGGAGCTCCCGCCGTGCACACTCTATCAGGATGGAGCCATGTGACGGTGCCACGGCGACTCCACCTATATTGTGGTCTAAGAAGTTGTGCTCACTATCTGACCACACCTCTTCCTTCACTTTCTCTAGACCGCAGGGAGACCATGACCCCTGACCTCTTCCATAACATCTCCTGCGGCCCTGTGGAGTCCATTGAGCCTGCTGAAGAGGCCCTCAGAGGTAGGTCTGGGGGAGAAGGAGGGGGGAAGAGGAGCACTTCCACTGGCAGAAGGTCTGTGCAGAGAAGAGCAGTGCACCTCGTTGGGCTCAGTTTTAAAAGTACAGGGGTAGTCACTAAGGGCATTATGTGGAGGTATACGTTCTGACTGAACACTCTGATCACCAGATGCTGGAGAATAACCATTTATGCTGTCATTCATTGTCTTATAATTGAGAGCTGAGCCATTCTGTCCAACCTTAAGGCCAGACGGGCCATGACGGTTGGGGGAGATGATCACCGTCTGTGGGGCCACCCCTTCACCTGGAGTAGGGTAGCTGCTGGTGCTCTGGCTGTAAGTGTTGGGCTGATTCCTCTCTGGTAGGTACTTACCAACACTAGCAGATCTGGGTGGTAGTCTGTGTGAGCTGTAGCAGCCCTGCGGCTCTGTTTTGGATGTGGAAAATACATGTATTCTAAAGTGCTGATGTGGTAATTAAATAAACATTTATGTATATAGTATAACAACAATATAACAACATAACCAGAGTTTTGGATTTATTACCTTTATTGGGGGTTTCTCTTTTCACTTTCCCAGGAGTGAGAGGAGTCAGCCCAAGCTTCTTCCCCAGTCTCTCTGCTTGAGCCTTCAGACGAGCTTCTTGCCTTATCTTACGGGCTGATTTCACTGGCTCAGCCAGTAGACGCACCTGGTAAATACAAAAACAAAAAATCAATAATGCAAAGCATGGTACATAGTTAGCATTTTGTTTTGCATTTTTGCAAGGACTCAAATCACTGATATTGCAGCAAGAAAGAAAAGAAAAACAGCCTAAAAAAGCTGCTTTTCTGTTCACTTACTTCTCTGGGAAAGGAAGACAAAACCTGCAGAGCACCACTTTGGATTTTGGCCCACTGGCCTTCAACCTGACCAAACTCATCCCTGTCAGAGATCTTATAAAGTGGCAGAACGTGGAGCTGCTCATCTTCTGGTACATTACGCACTGCACGGTTATCTTCCTTTGTTAGAGTACAAACCTAAAAAGGGACACAGAAAAAGCAAATATCTAATCAACAATTCAAGAGATTGATCCAAAACTAGAAAAAAAAGACCCTTAAAATAGGTGGGGAGACACGACATTGAAGTAGATTGCATGGTGTCACGCTCCTCGCCTGCTTACCACAGTGCTGCCGTTATTCATGTTGTGAGTGTCCTTGTGAGCATGAGCACAGAAATCCACACAGGCTGTGACCCCAGAAAATGGGCGTCCTTCCATCCTGCCTAGCCGACAGTCACCCCCTGCCTCTTCATGTTCCACCTATGAGAGGGGAAAGGACACAGCATGAGAAGAGTTTGATTTGTGGTGAACATGTTAAAAGATTCAATGTGATTTGTTTCTGTGACATGAATTCTTTATTCTAAACTCCAGATTGTGGGTGTGCACGAATTAACATGAGTCAGAGGAATGCAGAAATCGGGTGCATAAACTGTGAGGAGGTCACTGGAGCAATCTGGAGCA